ATAATGAGCAGAAGGGCCTATAAACATAGCCTTATTTTTTTCAAAGTATTTTGTGGCAAGTGAAGTAATGCACAGTGATATCATCTAAAGAGGGGGGTCTGTTCCAAAAGCATTAGACCAGAGCATGGATGGAGCAGAAATTTGGTTGAGTTTGCATTTAAATGAAAACTTACACAATTGGCACTTTCCAAAACAAATGTTTCTGAAAAAAGAAAAGAAAAAATAAAGGGGGGGGAGGCACAGCTACCCTTCAAAATTTGCACTGATCTGAATTTTGCAATGCAGTTCTCTAGCTAAGTCATCTGTTTGAAAAATTTATACACTGAAGTGTGCATATAAATGCTTGAAAAGTGGAAATAACACCCAAAATGCATTCTAGTAGGGGGGGTTGCCTTTCAGAAGTGTTTGTCTTACGCCTCATCGCATACAAAACTGTGTTTATTAGGAGAAAAGGGCACAAAAGCGCAAATGAGTTTTCATCACAAATTTTTAAAATATTGTGGAAATGTAAAGAACCGAACATAAGATTAGATAAATGAGAAACTAAGAGAAACCCGCACTGAGATATTTGCCCATCCCTAGACCAGAGTCTACAATTATCTAACTGCCCTACTGGTTTTAATTTTCAAACAGAACAAAAATTGCTCCGATTCCTGTTCAGCCAGAACCACAAAGCGACTCTGAAGCTGCTTGAGCATTTTCTCGCACTTCCTCCTCTCATTCACCAGAGACCAGCTGTGGTTTTGCAGCATCCTCTCTCTCTTGGGTGGCTTCTTTCGGCTCTCGCTCTGCAAGATGCCTTTTGGCCCTTTGCAGTTGCTGCAGAACCAGATTACCGTAGCAGGTTTTGAGCTGCTTCCAAGAAGGGGCAGCGAGTGATTGGTATTGTCTCTCCCTACCGGATCTTGGCACGACTAGCCTGCTCATCCAGGGAGGGAGCTCAGAAGCTGAGTCACGGTATCAGGTTTATGGAGAGCATCAGCTGCAAAGCATCTCAATGGGGCCTGAGAGCAGGGAGGAGGGAAGCAGAAAGTAGGGAAATCTCTCTCTGAGAATACTGTGCCGCTGCCCAGGGGATGTGGCTTTGGTGCCTGCTGAAACGCATGTTGAAAGGGCCTGTTCCTTGAATGCAGACTAACATTACCTTCCAGATGCCCAGGCTCTGCATGTGACTGAAGAGGACACTGCTAGGGTGCAAAGGGCCTTGGTGCCTTCACGGACCATACAGCAGCTCCCTTTACAGAGGTACCTCATGTTAAGTACTTAATTCATTCCGGAGGTCCATACTTAACCTGAAACTGTTCTTAACCTGAAGCACCCCTTTAGCTAATGGGGCCTCCTGCTGCCGCCGCACCACCGGAGCACGATTTCTGTTCTCATCCTGAAGCAAAGTGCTTAACCTGAAGTACTATTTCTGGCTTAACAGAGTCTGTAACCTGAAGCATATGTAACCTGAGGTACCACTATATTACCTGTTAGGTTGATGGCAGAATTGGGAAATGTTATGTCAAATGTTACGTCAAAGGACAGCACTGGAGGACACTCAGCTACAGGTAGGTTAGTGCTGCGGTTCTGAGCTTATGTACTGAAGCAGCCTCTCCCAACCTGGTGCCTTCCAGCAGTGTTGGACTACAACTCCCATCAACCCCAGCCAGCAGCTGAGATTGATGGGCAACCCAAACAGCTGAAGGGCAGCAAGTTGGGGAAGGATACTCTAGGGAGAAAACAGGCTTAGGACCAGGCTTCCTCAACCTCGGCCCTTCAGATGTTTTTGGCCTACAACTCCCATGATCCCTAGCTAGCAGGACCAGTGGTCAGGGATGATGGGAATTGTAGTCTCAAAACATCTGGAGGGCTGAGGTTGAGGAAGCCTGCTTAGGACAGTGCTGCTGCTTTGGAAGTGCAAGAGATGGAAGCTAGCTGAGGCTTCTCCTGTTGTTGTTTAGTCGTGTCTGACTCTTTGTGACCCCCTGGACCAGAGCACGACAATTCCATCGTCCCTGGCCAATGGTAGCCATAACAGCAAGAGACGGTGGGAGTTGTAGGCCTATAACGATATCTGGAGGGCCCCAAGCCCTCCACCCCAGGTTTTTTTAGCCTCCCTGGAGGAGAAGCCTCGGAAGTGAGAGCTGGATCATAAAGAAGGCTGATCGCCGAAGAATTGATGCTTTTGAATTATGGTGCTGGAGGAGACTCTTGAGAGTCCCATGGACTGCAAGAAGATCAAACCTCTCCATTCTGAAGGAAATCTACCCTGAGTGCTCACTGGAAGGACAGATTCTGAAGCTGAGGCTCCAAGACTTTGGCCACCTCATGAGAAGAGAAGACTCCCTGGGAAAGACCCTGATGTTGGGAAAGATGGAGGGCACAAGGAGAAGGGGACGCCAGAGGACGAGATGGTGGGACAGTGTTCTCGAAGCTACCAGCATGAGTTTGACCAAAGTGCGGGAGGCAGTGGAAGACAGGAGTGCCTGGCGTGCTCTGGTCCAGGGGGTCACGAAGAGTCGGACACGACTAAACAACAGATCTTGCAGCCAGCGACAGAGGAAGGATCAGTATAATCATCATCATCGTATTTGTATGCCGCCTTTCTATAATTAAAACACTCAAGTCGGCTTAAAACAATATTTATATAATTTCAAACAAAAGTGCCCTGGTACTTGATCCTAGAAAGTAGGCCCTGAACATCATTTGCCTCCAGGGCGCCCAAGATGGTAGCCAAGTGGCAGATCTGGAACTGAGAGGGAAACCGGCCAGGTGTTTCTGACGTGTTTCCTGGAATCGTGACAAGCAGGGTGGCAGGGAAGGACCAACTGTGCCCGCTGGTTTCAGGGCACAAACAAACACGCACTCGCTCCGTCGTCTTTGTCTCCACCGTTTGGTTCACGGAGGAGGAGAATAGCTTTAATGGAAAGGCAAATCCCTTAATCTTCTCCAGATACAAATCAGCTGAACAGAGCCCCAGCTAAAGGACAGAGAATATCCCACAGGGCAGGGCATGCACTGTCTATCCTGTTCCTTATTTAATCAGCTGTTGCCGTATTTATAAAGGGTGACTCGAGGCTGCCCAGCTACAGCCCCTCTTGTCAGGCTCCGAATCTAGCCCTGGCTTCATCTGCTGCATCATTGAGGGCCTCAGATGGCGTGTAATGTCTCAAAAAGGTTTTTTTTTGGGGGGGGGCTGGAGTCGCCTGTGAGCCACACCACCTAAGGGAGTGGTTCCCAAATGGGTGTTGGGATTACCTGGGGTGCGGGGTGTCTGCAAGAGGTAATGGGGTGGCTGGAGGTGCAGATGCACAGCTGTCAACGTTTCCCCTTTTTAAGGGGAAATCCCCTTATTCCGAATAGGATTCCTCGCAAGAAAAGGGAAAAGTTGACAGCTATGTGCAGATGACTGCTGGACTTTGAAAAGCTGGTATCCCTGGATCAAGTGCATCCATTTTGTTGAATTGATTAAACTAAATTTCAATTGGATTTTGAGCAAATGTACAATTGATTGCGAATTTTGTTGTGTTGTTATCTTCCTTCGTAGGTCATGTGAATGGCTGTTTTGAATAATCCTTTTTTATAGGGTAGGGGGCACTGAGGATGAGTTTATGGACAACCTGAGAAAGTTTGGGTGTCTGGAAGCGCTTTCCCCTTATTCCAGACACATGGTGATAAGCTGTGCTTCTTTTCAGTGGTGAAGACAAGACACTCTACATGCTTAAAAGCGCCAATTAAAAAAAAAGTAAATTATTGCACAGTGGGACCCGAAACACTGCAAACAGGTTCTGAGGCCTAAGCTCAGGTCATATGTAGAGAAGGAAATCCACTTCCACACTCAGTCTTGGAAGTGGTGGATCCAGGATGGGGTTGGAGACCCTTTTGGCTCCACAGGCTAGATCCATGGTTCCCAACGTGGGGCACCCCCGCACACACAGAGGGGCAATTTTATTTTTAAGGGGGGACAATTTGAGAATGAGTCATTAACAGTGAATGGCCTTTTAGGCTTCCTCCACATGAATAGAACATCACCTTTTAAATAATAATAATTATATGGGGGGGGGGGATAGAATCAGGATTTTAGAGATGCTTAGGTGGGGCATGGCCCAAAAAAGGTTGGCAACCACTGGGCTAGATCCTTAGCAGGATCTAATTTTAAGATGTATTTTAATTAACTGATTGCCTGTTTTTATGTTCTTTGTATACTGTGTTAATTTTATGATGTTAGCCGCCCTGAGCCCGGCTCCGGCCAGGGAAGGCGTGGTACAAATAAATATTTATTATTATTATTATTATTATTATTAGGAATGACCCACAGGCCAATTTTTACAGGTGGACAGAGTTGCCCACCTGCCAGTCACGTGATGTAACTGTGACATCACATGACTCGCAGGTGGCCGTAGACATGGGAGAAGCCTGGATTGTAACAGTTGGAAGGGACCCTGAGGGTCATCTAGTCCAACCCCGGAATCTTTTTGCCTGGCTCGAACCCACGACCTTGAGAATGAAAGAGGAAATCCCAAGGAATCCCAACTTTAATGAGGTGGCAGACAAAAATGCTTGAATACATAGAATTGGCGAAATTGACCTATAAGATTCGGAACCAAAAAGAAGCAAAGTTCAAAAAGGATTGGAGTAAATTTGTTGAATATATGCGGAGTAATTGTAAGAATTTAAAAACTGTAGCAGGATTAATGTAAATCTTGCGATGTGGATGGAGTGTAAATAAGAAACTGTAAGAAAAGATTTGAGATATGAAAACCGTTGAAGGGATGGAAGGAAGTCCGGGCGCAATGAGGCGCAGGGTAAATAAGAAGACATACAATTTTTTAAATGTAAGAGTATTTGTTTTGTTGTTGTTACAAAAAAGCAATAAAAAGTATTTGGGGGAAAAAAAGAGATTTCACGAGTCTCACACTCTCGGAACTGAGCTGTTTCCCAAAGGATATTTGCAAGGTCAAACTCTTTTGCCCTCCTCCCACTTTAAACACCTGATTCCTGCTTTACACCATTACCTGAAGGAGTCGGGGCCTTGCTCCAAAGTAGACGCGGCTTGCAACTCAACTCTGCTCCTCAGGCTGGCTTACCTCACAAGGTGGTGGTTGTTGTTGAGATGAAACACGTGCCCACCTTGAGCTCCTTGGAGGAAAGAAATACATGAGAGAAATTTTATTTTAAACTCACAAATTTCTTAACATATATAAGTTAAATTAACTGAAAACAGCTTGCAGATACTTAATTGGCTTAGGATTTTATTTATGTTAAGTGATGAATTAATACGTTTAATTTCATAATGCGAAGATCTAAGGATGTTAATGTTTAAGTTTTATAAGAACTGTGATTTGGAAAACCGTTATGCAATGAAATTCAAGCAAGGGGAAGCGAGGAAGTCACTTAGCAACGTTAATAAGCGTAATTTTCAATAAGGCTATGATTTATGTTTGTTTGTCTGTTTATAATGTTGTGAAAACCAATAAAAAAAATTGAGAAAAAAAAGGAAATACACGTACATGCGAGAAATTTTTTTAAAAAACACGCATTTCTTCTCCGCCTCAGGCGCCGGCCCCGCCCTTCCCCCCACCCCTCACGACAACTGTCCCGCGCGCCTCCCAAACTTGCTCCCTTTCCATTTTGCCGCCGCGCGCGCCGTCCCCGTCCCCGCCCCTCCCGCCGCCATTGGCCGCGAGGCGGGCGCCGGCGGGCCGCCATTGGCCGACTACTCAAGAGGAGCCCGCCTTCCCGCCAGCAAGCTAGGGAGGCGCGTGGGGCGAGTCCTGAGGCGGCTGAGGCGGCGCCCAGCCCGAGGCCGCCACTCCTCCTTCCCGGCCCCGCGCGCGCTCCCGCTCGCTCGCTCGTGCACACGGCTCCGCCTTCTTCCTGCCTTCCTCCTCCTCCTCCTCCTCCCGGCCGGGCTCGCTGAAGGGGACGGGCGGGCGAAGGCAGTCGCAGGAGGGACCGCATTCGCCGGGTGGCGGACACCCCACCCCACCCCCGGCTCGGTAAGGGGCGAGAGTGTGTGGAGGGGGGGGGGTCAGTCGGTTGAGGGTCTCCTTGAGAGGGTCAGGGCTTGGGAGCGGGGAGGAAGGGGTTAATTGGGGAGGGTTCCCCCCCGGGGGGGGGCAGCAGGGGCGCTTGGACTTTGGAGGGGGGGCTGCGCACTAGGAAGGAAGGGGTTAAGTTGTGGGGGATGTTTCCTTAGGGAGGGGGCAATTTGGGGAGGGGAGAGGTCGGGGCATGTGCGGAGCGGCAAAGGGTTAATAGTGGGGGGCCGTGGGGAGGAAGGGGTTAATTGGGGTGTGTTCCCCCCGAAGGGGCAGCAGGGGCGCTTGGGCTTTGGAGGGGGGCGCTGCGCACCAGGAAGGAAGGGGTTAAGTTGTGAGGGTGTTTCCTTGGGGAGGGGGCAATTTGGGGAGGGGAGAGATCGGGGCTAATAGGGGTTAATAGTGGGGGCCGTGGGGAGGAAGGGGTTAAGCGGGGGGGAGGGAAGCAGGAAGGGGCTAAGTTGGGGTGCCTTCAAGGAGGGGGGAGCATGGAGAGGGGGAGGACAGGGCGGGGCCAATGGGGGGGTCCCTTGGGTGGGGTGGGGAGGCAGGGAGGGGTTGGTTGTGGGGGGCCCAGGAGTGTCCCCCCGGGGGGCGGGCACTTTTTCAGGGACGAGCGCGCGCGAGGTGGTCGTGGGGGGTTTCCTTGCAGACGCAATGCCTTTCCAACTGGGCAGTTAATTCCCTGCAACTTTGGGGGTGCAGTTATGGGGCAGGGTGTGTGTTTGTGTGGGGCGCGCCATCCCTCCCTTCCTGGGCCCCTGACTTTGAGGTCTGCAGCTGCCAGGCCCCGGAGAGCAAAGCGAGGGCTGGGCATGTGCGCGCCGGGGCGCGAGGGTTTGCCAGGAATCTGCGGCGTGGCGGGCGGCGGACTTCAGCCCGGAGAGCCGGAATGTGGGGAGGTGGGGGTGGGTGGGCGGGCAGAGCCGAGGAGGGGGATCCGGGCGGGTGGGGCGCAGGAAACCGGGGTGCATGGGCGGGGTGCGCAGAGTGGGTGCCCTGGGACTCCCCGCCTCGTGCTGGGAGACAGGGAAGGGAGGAAGCAGGGCGGGTGGGTGGAGAGGTTAGGGGCTCCGCCGCGGGGACGGGGTTGTCCGGCAGGCGGCTGGCTCTCTCGCTCGGGGTGGGTGTGGACTGTCTGCAGTGCTAGTTGGAAAGTACCCAGGATTTGTGCGCGCGCATGGGAGCGATCGCTGCGAGAGGGAGCATTTCCAATGTGGTGGGAGTAACAGTCGGGGTGTGTGTGTGTGTGTGTGGCCTTGAGCATCATGCACCTTCCCCATTTTTTCAAACAAACAAAAGCCCGCCCTGTTGCCGAACCCAAGCAGCTTGGGAAAAGGTGGGGTGGGGGGGAATTCCTGTTTACGGCGTCCTCCCAAGCGACAGCAGCTCTTGGAAACTTGATAACCTCGCCAGTCCTTTCTCTTGCCCTTTCCCTCATCCTGGGCGTCGGGCCTGAATCCCAGCGTGTATAATGCAGGTCATCTGTGAGAGTCTGGAGTGAAATGATATCAGACTTTGTATTTTAACTGCGTTAAATGTGTGGTGCAACTCTTGGTTAGAAACTTTGCATTTTACTCTTCCAAATGTTTTCCTTTTTCATATCCCTCCTCCCAAACATACCAACTTAATTTCTTTGGCATGTGTTCAGAATTGCAGTTTAGGCCACTCCGCAAACATTTCATCTTCCCATATACCAGAATGTTGGCTTGCATGCTAACAGAGTGTCATTTATTTTGTTTTGGGTGCAGTCCTGTAAGGTGGAGGCATTTTGCAAAACTTCACAGAGCAGGAACCTTTGGAGGGGGTGTTGATCTGCCAGCTAATTAACAGCCTTCTAAGTGGCGGAAGGCAGGGATGGGCTGCAATAATGATAGATGCTAATAGGAACAACAGCAAACTTGCAGAAAGGGGCGTTGGGAGGAACATCTTGACTAAATTAGGAGGACATCTGTCTTGGGAAGATGCCTGAGTTATGTCATCTCAGAGGAAGTGAAAACTGGGCGGGGGAAAGGCATAAAGTTTGAAGGTCTAGAGCATTTGTCCCCAACCTGGTGCCCTCAATATGATTTGGACTACAATTCCCATCATCCCCCAGCCAGCACAACTGTGCTGGCCAGGACATGTTCTGATAATGTTTAAAAGTACCAGGTTGGAGGTGGCAGCTCTGTAGTGCAGTGTGCTGCAAAGAATTCCTGGTTTTCTTCTCCCTCGCCTTCTCAGCTGTAGCAAGTCCTCAAAGACCTGGATTTTGAGTGAAATCCTTTGTCTCCTTTGCATCTTGGCTTCTGATCGGAGACTTCTGCCTCTCTCTCTCTCCCTCTTCCCCGCCTCCCCCTTCCTGGTTAAGTGGTTCCTCATCTGCTGTTGCCTTTCTGCAGCTATGACTGGCTGGTCTCCTTCCCAGCTTTTACAGGGATGGTTCTAGCATTGCATCAGGGGATATTTTGTGCTGTAATCCAGCAAGGCAGCCAGGATAAGCGATCGCAGAACCGCTGCTTGAGGGGATGGGTGTGGTGAGCTGCGTGGATGCAGCAGCAGAGGCACAGCCGGCCTATACAGTAACTCTGCCCAGTCATCGGCACAAGGGATCTGAGCGGCAAGCTATTTTTATAAATCGGGCCTAGCTTCAAGCTGGGCGCACCGATTTAGAAGGAACAGTTGTCATATTTTAAGTATTAAATGAGTGTGGTATGAGTGCGACGCTGCCTCGGGTAAGTTTAGACATAGGGCCCTGCTGTTCTTGGGTAGGAAGGGGCCTCTTGCTGAACGAACCCGCCCCCCCGCCTTCAAGTGCATACCAAGCCTGCCTGCCTGCTTTGTCATTGCCACATTCACTTTTCGCTAGAGAGCCTCTTAAAATTAAAATTCCAGAAGGGTAGCTGTGTTTGTCTGAAGCAGTGAAAGGGCGGAGAGCTGTGGTACCTCCAAGGCTTAACGGTCTTCAAGGCACTGCAGCACTTGTGGTCGTGGACCCTGAAACTTCCGTACTCTCTAACTCTTCAGCTTCGTGGTTTTCCCCCCCACTATCCCCCAGCTGTCCTCTTGCTTACATTGCTTTCCCAACTCGGCCTCCTCCGTGCATGACACAGAGCTCTCCATTTTGCAGGATTGCTTAAAAGCCAGAGTTTGTAGTGAGTGAGAAGCACCAGAACTTGCCGAGACAGACAAACTTTTGTTTATAGCACGGTTTGTAAAGACTTATAATTTGTTCTGGGCCACGGATGCAAAGCATCCCTTTGCTCTTTATTTTCTCTGCAGTGAAGCATTAAAAGCACATTTTTAAAATCAGTGTTGGATATAGAGCCATATAGAAACTGATGCAGGAGAGGCATGTTTTGATGCAGCTGGGGCAGAGGAAGGCGCCTGTTTTTTCTGCTATAGGTGTGCCATGCCGTTTCTTCTCTCCGTGCTCTTCGCAGCAGTCATTCCTCCTCTGATCACTAAGAAAAAAAGGGGAAAAAAGTTTGTCTCAAGTGTATGTCAATACAATGGGAGAGGGACTAGTTCATGATATGGTTGAAGGGAAATGAGAAAAGATTATTTAGATGACAGTTACATAGAGTAAGTGAAAGAGGAACAAAGGGAGAGACCTATGCAGACCTAAAAAAGGCTTCTGCAACATAGAGAATCGTGGAAGATTGTCACAGATCAGTCTGCAGATTGAAATTCAAGGATATTATTAAATCAGGGTGTAGCTTATTTTGCTGTGGCTCTTACTGAATTAGCTATGCAGTTTGTCGTCTTGAAAGCCACTTGTGCTCACACAGGGAGGAGAAACAAGGTGGTCAGGAAGAGTAAGTCACTCTGCTGTCTGGAATGTCTAGAAGAGGGCGGCAAAAATGGTGAGGGCTTAGAGAGCAAATCCAATGAGAAAGAGTTGGGTCTGTTTAGCTCAGATGTGGGGATGATTTAAGGTGTGATATGATGACCATTTTCAAATATGTTCATATTCATAGTCACATGCATGGTGGGATAAATTTGTTTTCTGGTTTTCTGTTGCCCTAGAGCGGAGGGTCTAGCGCAGGTTCATATTACAAGAAAAAGGATTCCCACCAAAGAACGTCCTGTTGCATGAGTTATTTGACCGTGGAGTAGACCATATTTGAAGGTGTCGTGCCGTGCTTCATGAGAGGTTTTTCAATGCTTGACCCGATATTGGGGATGCTGTAGCAATGAATTTCCAGCATTGGCAGAGTTTTGACTAGATGACCTTTGAGGTCTCATTCAGGTTATGTTGGTCCAGTTGCAGCTTGCTGTTCATTGCCCTGCACTGCTTTTATGCTATGTGTGGTGTAGTTGTGGTTTTGCTTCTGGATATGGTTTGATTTAAGTTAAAATATGCTGGTGTCAAGCTCTCGTTACATCCTTGGGCAGCTCCCGGCTGGATTGGTCAACCTGTGTGATCCTCTCTCCCCATGATCCTTCCAAACATTGGGCTGCCTCTTCGGCACAACCATAGTATTGCACAGAAGTTGTCGAAGGTCCTGGATTTGATTTCTGGTATCTCCAGTTAAAATTGCCTTCTGAATAGATTGCACCAGGTTTGTAGATCATACAAAATCAGATTGCCC